CTCCTCCTCCTCCTCCTCCTCCTCCTCCTGCGCGCCGCCGGTGGACCTCCTGGCTGAAGGCTGGCCCCGAGAGGGGGTGAGCGGGCGGGTGGAGTTAATGGTGCGGAAAATCCCGGAAGCCTCGCGCGGCAGCGTGAGACCCACTGTGTGTCGGGTGTCAGCCGGATGCACGTCGGGTTCACGTCGGGCTTGCCCCGGATCCACGTCGGATTTAGCTCGGATTCACGTCGGAGGATTGCTGCGCGAACGTCGACCCACTTCAGACTGAGCCGACGTGTGGACTAGCTGATACAACTACTGCGCGCCGCGCAAAGCCTCCAGAATTTTTCGCTCATAGGTGGAGGCGCGCAGGGCGGAACCAGTGGACGAAAGAGGGGAGTCGAAGTACAAGGGTTGGGGCGGTAACATTGTTTCTTCTCCAACGTGTCACGGTTGTCACCGCTTGATGCACAGAACTGGCTGTACACCTGTCGCAGGCACGGAGGGCTCTTGAGGCTAAGCGGGAGGAGGAAGAGGAGGAGGAGGAGGAGGACGAGGAGGAGAAGGAAGAGGAGGAGGAGGAGGAGGACATCAACATGCCCTGACGTAATGATGAGCACGCGCTGCCCCACCAGCTTGCTCTGAAGTAACTTATCCTGACATGCGTGTGCACAAAATCGCTGCCAGACTCTGCTCCCCTCCTCTGCTTTCCTCCTGACCTCGCCGCCGAACCACTCTTGTGCTACATGAAGTGTGTCGTGAACACGCTTTGCCCCATCAGCCAGCCCTGACGCGGTTCGTCCTAACATGCTTGTGCACCACCTCGCTGCCAAAATTCTGCTCCCAAATCGACGGGCGCACCATCCGGAAGGCGGTCGGCCACACAACCGAGGACGTCCCCGTGTTGAAGCCTGCGGCGCGCCAGGAGTCACGTCAATATGGAACCACGATGCGCATCAAGATGTTGACCGCGTGGCCGGAGTCTGGCGGCGAACCCAAGGAGGAAGGCGGGGGGCACGGGGTTTCTCCAGAGACTCAGAAGGCTTCCAGCCTTCCGAACACCACTCTGAGCCTTCCCCGAAGACGCAGACGGGTTCTCCGAGCGCTCGAGGACTTCTGAAAAGCCCCGCCGCCCTTTGAGAAGGCCTGCGCACTCTCTTTGTTTCTTTATGTTTCTCTCTTTCTCTCTTTCTCTCTCTCTCTCTCTCTCTTTTTCTCTCTCTCTCTCTCTCTTTCTCTCTCTCTCACCCCCCTTTGGGCGCGCCGCCGAGGCAGTGCCACTGGCTTGGACGAAACAAGAGAAGGAGGAGGAGGAGAAGGAGGAAAAACAAAAGGAAGGAATAGGAGGAGGAGGAGGAGGAGGAGGAGGAGGAGGAGGAGCGAACGACGAGCCGACGGGGGCGCCGTCAATCTCATGGACTGCCCGCCGCGCCGCCGAGTACAGAGGCGCCGAACCTCAGAGCGCCGCGGGCAGCCTCGACGATGTCGCTGTGGTTATGGTAGCTATTGGCGACCGTGAAATCCCCGTTGTTCAGCTGAGCGTTCATGTAATGATACGTGCGACAGGCGACCGAATGTCGCGCGAGAACGTGCTTGATCTCGTTGTCAGGCATGCTCGCGTTGTTGAAGCTGTCGCCATGTAGGCCGAGCCGAGCGAAGACACATGGATGTAACTGTCCCCGCGGGAGGGCCACGTGGTGTCACAGCCCCTTGCAGACGACGTAGTGGCCGATGGGAGTCGACGTGGTACTTGGGGTCGCACCCGAATATGCACCCTCGTCGGTGCGATGTGGCCCACCCTCCTGCGAGAGTCTTCATCACTGGCCAGCACTGCGAAGGCGGGAGACGCGCGATCTCGGCACGAACGAAGGCGGCGCCAGGGGCCACGGTAGATGCTCGGCAGCTGAAGGAGGCATGGTCACGTCGTCGTTGTAGCCGTAGTCCTCGGTGACATCCATATTGGGGCCGGGAATAAAACTAACGAGGTCGTTCTCGATGACAGCCACAAGGAACTATAGGCGACGCGCCAAATGCTCGGTCATGGCATTGTCGAATTGTGATTAGCTCCGCAAATCTGGCTTCGCTGAGGGTCCGTGCGCGAGGATTGCGATTAAAAGAGGCAAGGCCCCAAGCCCCCCAGCAACTTCGTCGAGCTCGGGCGAGGAGTGCGTCGCCAAATGCATCTGGAAACAGAACTTGCATACTGCGTCGACGTAGACGACGGATGACACCGCGCAGGCACCAAGGGTTCCTGGCTGCATCATTGGAGATGCCCTCGTTGTCGGTGTAGAGATTCGGGAGCCAGTCAGGTGCCCAGTGGTCGAGCTCGGTGTCTGCTGATCGGCGATCTTGTTCTGAGCCATCATCGGGGGCGTCAGAAGGCTGGCTACTAAGTAGAGCATGCGAGCTGTCCGTCTAGAGGTGGACGCTCGGCAACCGCGGGGAACAGCGTCGCAATCGTTCGGCGATGTCGAAGCTACCCTCGTGGAGCCTGCGTTGCAGTACGTGTGCGCACGTGGATCGTGGCGACTTGTGACTGGCAGCTCGGGGGCGGACAGCTCCAGCTTCGCGTCGAGCGCGGCGGGGGTGGCGCGCGTGCGACGCAAAGACGCGAGCCCGTTGATGCCCGCGGCGAAGATATTCATGGGCCCGCTGGGGATCATGAAGCTTGCGCGCCACGGTCTTGAATGTGGAGCCCTTCTCCGCGGGGCAATTGCGTCCGCGTGCAGCGCGTGGAAGGCGTTGGGCCACCGATGTGTCAGATCTCCAGCAAGCAGAGCTCCACTTGCCTTGTGCCACTCGAACAGGTGGGATATGTTCTTCAGCTGCAGCGTGGAGTAGCGCGAGAAGGCGGGGCCGCGAGGTGATGGTAGAGGTAGCGGCGCGCCAGGCGGCGTCGCCCATGAGAACCTCGACGCCCATCGGCATTTCAGCGCCAGCCCAAATCTCCATGCCTACGAAATCAAGCTTAGTGAAAGCTGACGGTGCGGAGCGGATGATCTTGTGCAGCGCGTGAATCTCTTTGGTCAGTCTCATTTCGGGAGCGGGGGAGAGTTGCCCAACGAATGCGAAGCACGTGATGGCCGAGGTGTTGCAGAGCATGATGTTTGGCTGTATGGGAGCGCGCGCTTCTCCCAGCCCGTGGGATCGGTGGAACCATTTGGAAGCTGCAGAGGACCATTGAGCGCGGTCATCGGCTCCACAGCCGGTGTGAACACCGACATACTGCGCCATATCGTCGATGAAGAGAGCCAACTCGTCGTGGATGTCGCGCAGCGTGTCGCGCATTTTTTGTCGACGACGCAGGTGCGGCATTCGGCCCAGACGGGCGCCAGCGCGCACACGCGCGGTTGAAATGTAGTCCAGCATGTTGTTCTGCAGCTTGTACATGAGGTAGGAACCACGTATGTCCCGCCGCTTGGCGAATACACATCCAATGTCGTCAGCGCACGCGCTGGCCATGCCACGGCCAACGCGCGCGAGGTGGGAGTGGATTCCGCGCAGAATCGGGTCGAAGATGAGCGCCCATATGGCGCCGCTTAGTGGGCGGCCCTGCGCAACCTCAATTTCGGCAACCAGTAGCAGGGGCCGACGAATGCCCCCGGCCTCGAGGAAGGCGATGGGCATAGTGTAGAACGCGCGCAGGAGCTTGAGGAAGTTGCCAGTGATACCCCACCTCTCGATGACTTCCCAAGCCAGGAGTGGAGCAAGCTAGGAAAGGCGGCTGCGATGTCCATGCTCAGAGAGCAAGGGAGAGACGTGTCGGCGTTGCCACCCATACTGTAGAGGCGGCTGTCGGCGTCGACATCGACGATGTTGTTGAGGAATTACCGTCTAGGAGCAAAACAGCGTTGAATATCAGGGACTTGTTGCTGCACGACTGGACGTAGCTTCCCGTTAGCTGCCGATGCGACTATCTTCGAGTCAATTTTCTTCACGGCCAAGGGTCGTAGCTGTTCAGGTGCACGGAAACATCCAGGAATGCCCGCATGGTCGTCGCCTTTAGTTAGCACAGCGAGTAACGATAAATCGCGTTCACAGGGGGTGGGGTATCAATGACTGATGCAGTAGGTAAATTCGCTCAGGGTCTCGAAGCTCTGAAGGGTAGAAGACCGCGCTTGGTATGGTAAACCGTCAGGGCCAGGAGCTGACTCGCGCGCGCGTTTAGCTGCGTGCTGAAGGTCTTCCACTGTAGGAAATGCGATGTCATTCTCTGGCTTGGAAACGACAGCCGCGTCGAGGTAGGACCTCATGTTCATGATGTTGACAGGCGTGTCCTCGCAGATCGGGGCCCGGTGCACCATTGTCGCTGAGTGCACGTCGGCCACGGCCCCCCGCGGCGGCGAGCGGCGCTAGAGCGAGCCCGCCACCTGTCGCCTCGTTGACTTTGACGCCGTTGGCATGCTTCTCGGACTCGAGCGGCGGCGCGAATGCGTGTCTCATCAGCAGCTGCAGCGTGCGCCTCGGGAGCGACCGCGGCGAATCTGTCAGCATCTGCAAGACTGACGGCGACGGCAGGAAAGCCATTCTCGCTGGAGTGCTGGATGCGCAGGTGCTCAGCTCCGAAGCGCGTGTTTGCGACCAAAAGCTGAGCCATCTTGCGGTCCTGGCACCAGACGGCTCTAGCTACACCGTGTAGCTAGAGCCGTCTGGTACGTTGACTTCCTCGGAGGTGAATTCCTCGGCAACGTCGCTGCGGTTTGCATGGCGATCTTCGGGGGGGTGACTGTTGGAGAAAGCCGCGCGCCTGAACAGCAGCGCGCGTCATGTTCGCTTTGAGGGCTCTCCACGTGCCCACAGGAGCGAGCGCGCTGTAGTCGGCGTCCGCGGAGAGCTTGTCCACGAAGTGTTAGTAGAGACTGGGCTTGGAGATGGATGCGGGGATGCCTCGCTCAGCGCGCGGGCGTTGAGCGCGCGGCCGAAATCTGACGAGAAGCCTATGATCACTGGCCGGCTTGGCACGCAGTCGTTCCAGCTGGGAGTCGCCCACCACCATGATCGTTTCTAGACGCGGTAAGTTATGCGCCTCGAGCGATGCGAAGAAGCTGTCGACGGTCGACTCGGCGCGGTTTGCATAGCATCTGCGAGTAGTAGCGGGTGCGCATATCTCTACCATGCCGAGGAAGATCTGCATCCAAAATGTGCGCTGATACTGGTAACGCTCGCTCGCGCTGGCGCCGACTGGACGCAGCAGCTTGCGAGCAGGTTGTTCAGCGATGATGAAGTCTCCGGACACGAAAAGTAGATGGTGGTCAGGGTTCACAGCAACCTCTTCAGCTGAAGCGCGCCACGCGCGCTTGAACTTCTGACGGTCCTCAGCATTCAAGTCGTGGTTGCGCACGTTGAAGTAGATGCCTTGGAATTGTCGTAGACGGTCGCGCATGCGCCGTTCGGCGACGCGCTCAGGGATGCTGCGCGGGGGGGGAAGTCGGGCCGCTGGCCAACATTACAAGACGAACGAAAGCAAACGGGAATGATGGACGCAACTCCACCCGCGCGGAACCTCGCCCCACTGCCCGCGGCGAGTTGCGTCGAGGCGTCGCCGTCGTCAGACGGGCTGCTCAAGAAGACGCTGTACTTCGTGGCTGTGGCGCTGGCGAGCGCGCGCGGCATCTGCCCGTCGCCATGGACCTCCTGGATCGCAAGGGGCGGCTTCTTGGAGAAGTAGGGGGCGAGGATGGAGCGCTTGATGGCGCGCTGGGCAGGCTGGGGGTGCAAGAGGGCCTGTGCGCCCCAGCTGGCGATGGAGCGCTCGGCGGGGATGGGCGGCGAAGAACAGAAGGGGCCCACATCTGTTAAAACCGCGACACTGCAACAGCGGGATCCGCGAAGGCGTTGGCGAGGGCATATGCGACTGTTGCTTTTGCATGGCGGGAAACGCACCAACGCGCTCAGCAGCATCAAACCACTGAATCCCGGTAGCTTCTTCAGGGCGTGAGCCCACCAGCAGGCGGACGATGGCAGTGCCAATCGACCGAGATGAATCCACCCGCGCGGTGCACCCGCGCGTTGATGTCGGGCCTGGCGTTCGCGAGCAGCTTGGCGAGCTTCTTGGCTTGGACTTCTTGCCGAACAGATTCCGGGCACTTGCCGGCGCTGATGTAGAGCGGGAGGGGGGCGCCCTCGCGCGCGATGCAGGACGCCCCCCGTGCGAAGGTGATGGCGTAGAGCTTGGACACGCGGAATAGCGACAGCGTTCCTCCGAGGACTGCGACGGAGACGCGCTCTCTCGCCGATTGCGCGGCTTGCTTGAGAGCGGCTTGGGCGATGTCCACCCTCGAGCCACGCCGGAAGGCACCGATGTTCCCATGGCGGCCCCGCGATCCAAGGTTGGCGAGGTCCACGTTGGGCGCTTGAGCTTCCGCGCGTGCGATGGCGGTCTTGAGTGAGCCCGCGGCGCGGCTGAGGGAACGCGCTGCTTCTCGGATGCATCCACGCGTAGCCCGAGGGCAACGACGTCGCCCTCTGCCTCGTCCTACCTTGAGTCGAGGGATGACGAGATCTCGGCGACATGCTCGAGGAACTTTGACTGGGCGGCAGCGCAAACCTGCTCGGCGGCGAACTTTATGCTCGCGGAGGCAGCAGCGACCGGCGCGGCGAGAAGCCGCTCCAGCTCGTGCTTGAATTCGCCCAGCTTGCCTCGTCGAGCTGCGCCGTGCCAGGGATGTTTGTCCGGTTTGGGTTGACGGGGGGGGCCGTCCTCGACCTGCTCGCTCGGCGCGTCGGGGGGCGCCAACCGCGTCGGGCACGTGGGCGCGTCGGATGGCGAAGGCCAGCTTGAACTGCGCGTCGGCGTTGGCGACGCTGGCGGGCCGCGCGTCGCTGCTCTGCGAGACGCGTCCGCTGCGCCCCAGCGCAAGAATTCAGCGTGGAATATGTAGGAAGAAATGCATAATCTCGAAAACTGGCCCTGGAACATGGGCGCGCCGCGGAAGCCCGCGGCCGCTGCGGCCGCCAACATTGGGAACTTGAGCCGAGATGGCCGCGGAGGAGGAAGAGGAGGAGGAGGAGGAGGGAGGAGGAGGAGGAGGAGGACTTGATTCGAGCGATCCCCTCACGAGGGCGCGAAGCGGGATGCCCGAGCGCCGGCGCGCCTCTCGGGGGCGCCCGGCGGCCTCGGCGCGCCGTCGCGATGCGTCGAGGGCGCGCGGCGGGATGCACCCGGAGAGCACTCGGCGCATTCTAGGCCTGGCGGCCGCCGCGCGCAGGGCGCGCGAGTCGGGCCGGGAGCACTGCCCATTAAAATTTACTTTTTGGTTGCCGGGGGCGCCTGCCCCAGGGCGGCTGGAAAGTTCGCGCGCGCACGACGGCGCGCCGAGGTGTCAACTCCCCGGCCGCCCCGGGGCAGCGCCCCCGGCAACGGGGGAAGTTACGTGATGCCGTTCTTCGCCCGCTAATTCAAATCCACCGCAGCCTGCCAGGTGGGGAACAGCAGTCGAAGGGGGCGCTGGAAGACGCAGCGAAACACGGACACGGCAGCGCCCCGCTCGCGACAGGAATTACTCTTGCGGAGCACCTAGCTGCCCGGATGAAAATATACATCGCAGAATCAATGCGCTCGAAACCTATTCAATATTAGCGTAGATCAGCCCCTCCGCACTACAGCAGCGCGCCGCTTGACAACCATGAGGGGCAAACAACTTCATCGAGTCATCCCCCTGAGATCTACGCTCCTTCCAGGAGGCTTCCGAAAGCGAGCCTGGGCGAATGTCCGTCGTTGACGCTGGAGGGCGAACCTGCTCAAAAAAAACTGAGCCAATGCGCCGGCAAATTGGGCGAGAAACGCAGGCGCAGCCTTCCGGGGGGGCTGTCTTAATCGGATGCTCGCTCGCGTGCCAGCCCCCGAACGGATGGGCCAGAAATCGCCCGCCACAAAGCTTCGATCGCAAGTCTTCTCGGCGCGCGCGCGTCGCCCCTTGGGGGGGGGGGGGGGCGCGCGCGCGCTTTTCGCGCCGGCGGCTGGGCAGCTGGCGCCTGCCCCGGCGGACTGGCAACCGGGGGCACGCCGCGCGCAAATTGAGGCCGCAATGCACGGAGGAGAAGGAGGAAGAGTCCGGCACGACTGGGGGAGAGGAAGCCGGACCATTCAGCGCTGCCGACTGCGGCGAGGGGGGCGCCGAGACGGGAAACCAACGCTGGCGCTGACATGCACTGAGCTCCACTGGGCTGAAGCTGGGGGGGGGGGGGGGCAGCGCTGCGCTGCAATTGGCGATGGAGAAATGCAACGTAGCGCGCCCTACCAAAGTTGGGCCGGGCGCCGATGCAAGCGAGCCAGCGGGGCGCGCGCAGGGGGGGGCCCAGGCAGGGGGGCGCCAGGGGGGGGGGCAGCGCGCTGAGCTGCGCTGAGCTGCGCTAAGCTGAGCTGGGCAGCGCAGAGCTGCGAAGCAGAAGCTGGGGGAGCGCGCAGCCCAGCAGACTGGGCGGCAACATGCAGAGAGGCAGCGGGAGGGCCAGCACGGCCCAGCGAACCGCCAGGCGCGGCCCAGAGGGCAGCTGGCGCACCGGGACCGAGAGGTTGCCAAGCAAAGCCCCCCCAAGGGGCCGCAACGATTTCGAATTGGTAAGATTTCCAACGCGTTGCTTTCCTCAAGCTGCACCGCGGGGAAGCATCATGGAACGCCCGCGCGTCGTCAAATCCTCGCCGCCGCCGCCACCGCCGTCGTTGTCATCGTCGTAATCGTCGCAATTTTCGTCGTCGTCGTCGTCGTCGTCGTCGTCGTCGTCGTCGTCGTCGTCGTCGTCGTCTCCGTCATCGTCGTCATCGTCGCCGTCGTCGCCGTCGTCGTTGTCGTTTTCGTTTTTGTCGCCATCGTCGCCGACGGCGACGACGACGACCCCCAGCCCGCCGGGATGCAGGGCTCGGGGATGCACAGCCACGTCTGCCCGCCTCGTTGCCGCGCGACGGCATGGCATGGGTGCCCTGCTGCACGCGAGCCCAACCAGCGCAGCACCATCGCGCGCGGCCCCCGTGCGCGCGCGCCGAGCTGTTCGTGCCGGCTGCTGGGCCGGACACTCGAGCCCACGCTATCTCAAGCTCCAATGATGGGCAACTTCTCCACCACCACTACCGTATGTAGGGCGGAGGAGAAGGGAGGATCACGAGGTCCTCCTCCTCCTCCTCCTCCTCCTCCTCCTTTTCCTCCTCCACCTCCTCCCTCTCCTACCTCTGGTAGTGATGGTGGAAAATGTGCCCATCATCCAACCCCCGGAGAGGGGTCCGGCGAGGGGGTGGAACTTGACCGAAATGGCCAGAGCACAAGGACAGCGAACCGATCACTTCCAAAGATGACCATGTTGATTCACTCCGCCTGGGACGCCATGCCGAGAACAGAGAGACACATTGCTGAGCAAATTGCCTGCGCGGCGATGCTGAATGCCGAACGGGTATGACGAGGTCCTAGACGGACTGGCTTCCGTACTATCACTACACACACGAGGCTGTACGTCCAGCTTGCCAAACCCACACGGCATACATGCAACAAAACCCCTGGCGCCAAATTGATAAAACATGGAAACGGACCCATAACGGCACTGCAGCCGAGAACATGCCAACTGGCCGCGTTTGAACTAGGCCTTGCACCACCACTCGAACCAAGAACAACCATGAGGAACTTGCGAAGAGAGGTGGTGAACGACACAATGCGCTGTGGGGAGGGCTCAAGGCTGACGTGCCTCCCTCGCCATGCAAACATACAGACGAAATCACCAGCGCGTAGGTGGAAATGAGCCACAAGGAGCACAGCGGAAACGATACAACAAACAAACTATGTGCGAAACACACGAGCGCCCAGACCCATAGCATAATGAACCCGTGGAGTAACACGCGCCCAAAACCGCTGGCCCACTCCGTGGGGAAGCACGAAAGAATGCGACACATTACAAGACTGTAGTACGCCAGCCCCCTGTCGAATGAAATAAACTTGAAGGACAAGAGGAACAGGCGGACGTTGTACGAAAAAAACAAATAATCAAAAAACGACGTGGCGACGGAGGGGGGGTCGCCCCCGCCGCCTGGGGAGGTGGCCCCGTGCTGCGTGAGCCTCAGCGGCCGCCCCAGCAGCGCGACGTGCTGACGGCGGGGGGGGGCTCCTCCTCCTCCGCCTCCTCCTCCGTCTCTTCCTCCTCCTCCGCCTCTTCTTCCTCCTCCTCCTCATCCGCCTCCTCCTCCTCCCCTTCTCCTCCTCCTCCTTCTCCTCTTCTTCCTCGTCCTCCTCTTCCTCCTCCTGACCGGCTTGGGCCCTGCTGCCCAGGCCTGGCAGGGGCGTCCGGGGGCTCTGGTAAGCCTGGGGGGCCTCCTGCAGGGGCGTCCAAGGAGCCCCCGGGGGCCACGGATCCCGGGGGTCCGGTTTTGGGATGGTGGGTGATGGTTTTCTCGCCCCCCTGGATTGCAAAAATCTGGGAAGAGGAATATGATCGATAGTGTTGGGTGCCCACGTCCCCCACCCCCACCCCCTGAAGGGATGGTTCCGGGGCTTCTACCTCCCCCCTTCCATGGGATGGGGGGTCAACGCCGACAACGACGACGACGACCACCACCACCACCACCACCACGACCATGACCACGACTGCGACCACGACAACGACGAAGACGACGACGACGACGCCGACCACGACCACGACCACGACGACCACATCGACCACGTAGACGACGACACAAACGAGGAGGACGATGACGACGGACAACGACGCCGACGACGACGACGACAACGACGACCACCACCACCACCACCACCACCACCGCCACCACCACCACCACCTCCAGACCCCTCCCAGAAACCAAGACCCCATGCGCTGCAAGGTTGCAGCCCTCCCGCTCTCTGAAGCAACCACAGCACCGCATCACACCCACAAGGGGGGGTGATTTGTGGGGGGGGCACCACACTCACGCACGCACATGCACGCAAGCACGCACGCACACCCCCTACCACCACACCATACGACACCACCTGGGGGGCAGGGGGGGGATGGCATCATGGGGGGGACACCATACCCATGGGAAGGGGGGGCGGCACAGACCCTGCATTATCTACGGGAGGCTGGGGCGAGGAGTTCAGCAACAGAACAATGCTGGCGCTTGCAGAACGGCTGGCGGGAAAGGCAGTCAGCATTTGCGTTCTCCATGGAGGGGCTCGTACTTCCTCCGGGAAGGTCAAGATGGACTGCGTGGATAGCGGGGGCGCTAACCCTAGGCATCCACTTCTCTGCGTCCTCATCGCCTCCTCTCCACACCCCTCAGCTCTGCAAATCTGGTCAATCGTCGAGGCCGAAAAGGTCACGACGGGCGTGCGCTGGTCTACGTTGTGGATGCTCGCTGGATCGAGACCTGTCGGAAAACGACGGGGGGGAGCAGCAAAATCAGATCGGGAGAAGAACAAATCGCACGCAGGAGGAGGAGGAGGAGGAGGAAGGAGGAGGGGCAGGAGCAGGAGGAGGAAGAGGAGGAGGAGGAAGAGGAGGAGAAGAGTACACTGCCGCAGACGTGTGTGGAAGCTCGCCTGCCAAGTACAATTCCGCAGGGTCTGCAACGTTCATTAGGGATCGACATCTCTGAGAGCATTTCGAGCCCTTTCCCGGCACTCTCGCACACTGGATACCATACACGTGCAATGTTCAAACGCAAGTTTATGTTGACATCCGAGCAATGACCCCGAGCATGTCCATGACAAGATCAGGAAATGCGCAAACAAAAACGCCCTGGAGTGCCGAGAAACATTCGCTTGTGCATGTGGCTCGGCCAAGATGAGCTGTGATGGAGCATGTGAGGCTCGGAGGGACGCGTACAGTGTGGAAAGTGGCAGGCTGGAGCAAGCTGGCCAAGGGAGACGAGGGCAAATACAGTTCGCCTGCCAAGCATGCCGTCAGCGCCTGCGAGCGCCACGACTCCTGCATCCCACGAGCGGCTTCCTGGGAGCCCCCCGCTGACCACGTGGGCAAAGGCATGACTCTGTGGACCACAAGGCGATCCCAAGACTGGCCAGGGGCCTACAATCAACCCGTACAACAAATATGCGCGGTAAGGATGCAAGGGCCTTGGAAGGCCATGTCGACGCTTTGGGGGCGGGGCGCGGACAGAGAAAGCGGCCAGGGATGGGCCGAAGGGAAAGGATGCAAGGGCACCCTTGGGAAGGTGGCCCAGCCTTACTATGCCGGTTGACTGTAGTCCAAGGCGGCTCCCAGGCAGCCCAGCACGGCACGAAGACGGCCCCAGGACTCCTCCCAGGACGGCAAGGCGGCCCCAACAAGGCCCGAGGAGGACCACCAAGGAGCCGTCAGGAGACCCCACCTGCAGGCCGCTTCGAGTCGGAGCGCACGCCAGAGGCTCGTCGCGCGTACCGTTCCAGGTACTCCAAATGTTGTGAGGGGGTCGCAACCCTCCCAGACAAACAGTTCTAGACCCCCTCGGACCAGCCATGATAGTGCAGTGCCCAGACCCCACTGGAGCCATCCGAGACAGCTCAAAGCAGACCCCCTCACAAATCAGACAACCCCCCTTTTCATTGTAAAATCCGGAAGATGTGTCTTGCCTTCAATCCTGTCCCGTGATGGCTCAGACAACGATGTCTCGATG